GTTAAATTCTTTCTGAAGAGAGCGTTGGCCTGAGCCCAGAAGCTGGCCGGACCATGCGGCGGTTCCGCCATTGATGCTGGAAGCGTAGGACTTTAACGGTCGTTGAGCTACCTTTCCCGCCAAGCTTGATCTTTGTCCTGGCTTGCAAATGAGAGTACTGTTCGGATTCAGAAGTTCGGACAGTTATAAGGGAGGATAAGACCGCCGGCTTCCGTCTAATTACCTTATTATCCTTATCATTTTCACTTATTTTCGAGGATGGGATGAACGCGTTTGTGACTCTTCCTATTCCGAAACTACGACTTATCTAATTGACTATTATACCCTCCACGTGTTCAAAATTTTAGTCTCCCAGCTACCAGCCAAAAATATTCATGAGAACATAATAATGGAGGAGTTGGATTACATTCAAATTAATTTGAGAACAAGTGTGAAGGGATTTAAAATAAATGAAAAATATTTATTGTTATATAATTTATTATCAGATATAAAAAAATAATTTAAGTAATTTGATGTAATTAAGATTAAGTTCTAAGAAAATGTTTTATGTAATTAAGAATTAAAATTTTTAAATTGAAAATTTTAAGTTCGAATCTTAAAACATATGAGTAGGAATTAAGGAAAAATAAGAATAATTTATTGTTATATGGTTATTTGATGAATTAAAAAAAAAATAAGATTGAAAGAAAAATTAATATCTAATGTTTTAGTTATATGTCAATTTGGTGGATAATGACAGGGAAGAAAGTTCGCCATGTAACTTGCATATTTTAAACAAAAGAATAAAGCTTGTAATAGTATATATTTGTATTATGGAAATTAATTTATAACGGGCCACCCAACATAGATTTCTTCATGTAGAAGAGTAATCAATTACATCATACATGACGGACAAGCCTAAAATGGTTTATGATATTGAAAAACCAATTAATCATTCAATGCAATTTAATGTGGTGGGGAATGTTTTTGTAATTAAGGAGGGTCTTGAAATTAGAATAGTTTGATGAGTTTTTAAGAGTTCACACAATAAGTTGTGCTAGTGTGAACGCTAGTTGATAATATTATATATAAATTAATTCATATCAATCTTGATTTTAAAAAAAAATTAAAATTTTAATTTATATTCAAAATTTTAAATTTTAATTCAAAAATTTAATTAGTTTTTAAATCTAAATATCAATATTTAATAAGATAAATATTTTAATTTTAAATTAAATTTCAATTAAATAAAATAACAAAATTTAAGATTAGAATTCTAATTTTTTTAAAAATCAAAACCAATATGCATTTTTTTCATATATATTTGTATTTGATGATAGACTAATTTAATAAAAATAAGTGATAATATCCTCTTTCTCAAACTTTTTCATGTCAATTTAAATATTTAAAGTGAAAACCTCTACATGAAAACTTGAACTCTTAATAACCGAAACAACTTTTTAGAGAGAAATATATTGTGATTTGAAACAGACAAAGGAGTTAGTTGCTAACCCATAGCATAATTAATTAATTACTATTTGCGAAAAGGAAAGGAGGAACTGATAAGAAACTTTGAAGTCAATGTTCAAAAAACAAAATATCAGAATCCACAACAACGGAACAATTTGATAATCTTTAATTCTTAGTTTATTGTAGAAGTCCGGTCAACTGTTGTTTTAAATTGGGCTCTAATTAAAAATATCAGTGTATCTATCTACTTTGATTTTAGGTTAGTGCTTCATTAACATATATGATAGTTATTAATTAGGAAGTTAAACATGCATTTGATTTTATATCATCTAGGGAGATACAAATGAGAAATGATTTTTTTTTTTAGTATGTCAAAAGTTAGCCGTTTGGCTTTATAGATACTTGCATCCTTAATTTTGATTCTAAATTAAGAATATTGAATTAATAAATAATAATTTGACCAAAATTCTTGTTTGTAAAAATAAGAAATGGTGGAAATAATGAACTTGAGCTCTAACATCAATATTAACTTATTGGCGATGGGTGAATAGGTCAAACTTGAATATAAGATAGCAAAGGACATGCCTAAAAAAAAAAAAAAAAAACTTCCTTCAGATATAACAAAAATTAAAATTTACTTACACATAACTTTTACATATATTATCATTTATATAAAATTTTAATAATTTTTATTTTTATTATAAATGGTTGAGATATATTTATATAATTTTTAGATAAAAAAATAATTATCTTGAAAACATAATATAAAAAGAGTTTAAAAATATAAATAATTAATATTTTTTATAAATAACATATATAAAAATTATATGTAAAAAAATCTTAACTCATAAAAAAATACCCAATACAATAAAATAATACTACTCCTGATTAGTTGTCATTCATGGTTAGTACATATTGGCAGGATAATATACGAAATTCCTTTATTACATGAGCAACACGTCATTAATACTTAAAATTTTATATTGATCTTTAGGGTTTTTCTAAGGGAATATTGGTCAAGAGTTGATTCCCTTATTTGGTAAAATGAAATTGCCAAGTTCATTCCCTTATTTGGCAAAATGAAATTGCCAAGAAATTAAGTTGAACCAAAGAGATATACTTACAATAACTCGGCAGTGTGCATAAAATTTCCCAGTAGAATACTTTTCAAAAATGAAATTTGGATCAACTGCATTTCCTCACTCCCAGACAACGGTTCGGATTTGGTCCCACAAATTTGTTAAAAAAAGAAAAAAACAAAAACAAAACCGAAGTTTGGGTCAATACGTATATAGAAGTATATCTTATGACGCCACCGTATGTAGAAAAGTCTGGGACGTCGTTGGAATCACTGAATTACTAGGAAGCAGCTTAGTCATTTTCTGGGACCATGAAAAAATAAAAATAAACAAATAACGAATTGGTCAACATTAGGGCATGACATGTATATATTCATACAAAACACATATACAGGAAAATTCAAATAAAACACAACATTTGAATCATTCTCCCTGACCATACACATTGAGAAGAAGGGATTTGGGTTCCAAGATTTCTTAAATTTTTGTATAATGTATATTAATGACACTGTTTGATCAAATCATTCTCCCCTAGTTGGTACTTAACTCCCCCCCGACGGTTTGAATTTCTTGTTTTCAACACGGTCCTTTACAGAGTAACTCACTGATTTATTTCTTTAAAAAGAAAGTTAAGAAAAGATGGTCAACACTTGATATTTTTGTATTGACTTGACTGCCCTTAATTTCTAGCTCTAAGTTTTCTTTGACCAAAGCACCCTTAAAATGAAGGAATAGACATCCCATGATCGTTTTACTTTGAATAGTTTGCTTATATATTGAGTCGTCTCAACCATTTAGTGAACACATGGCTTCATTGAACTCCTTTTCACCCTTAATCTAATTTTGAGACTAAATATATTACGAGTTTGATGTTTCTTCTAGCTAGTCGGATTGCAGAAAG